TTTTTTTCCGTAATATCACCACGTAAGTTTTAACTTCCTATCAGAATTTCAGATATTTCACAGCACTAATCCTGTTTTCTCTCAAAGGAATTTACTCGCCCCGCCCGTCTGAACAGGACGCGGCGCCGGGCACCCTGGTTAGGCCAGGAATACCGATGAACCTTCGGGGGAGGGTAAGTGTAGTTTTTTATGTTTTGCATTTCATTCATTTTCTGACGATTGCCTTTCAAAAACACCTATATCCCCCTATCTTATCTGTGAGTATACATGTTTGATTCTGTTTCCCCTGCCATGCTTAAGTTACTAATGATTTCGAGAATAAATTTTTCAAGCTCTCTGCTCTGATATCGTGATCTTAAATTTATTTTGGTATTGGCGCAAAATGAATGTTGATAAACAGTATATGGAAAGCAATTGTATTGATGCAAAGGCGTTATTTCGCTAGGCTGTAGGATTTCATGATGCCCGCCGTGATGACAGAGCCTGCAATGATGCCCAACGCCAAAGGACCCACCGCATCCCTCCAAGAGTGAAGTTTGTAGAGAAGCCAGCCGGATGGATTGTTTCGAGTAAGGTGGGATGGGATGCCGTCAATGCTTTTTGAATTTTTTTCTTCCCAGTATGTCTCCACGCCTTCAGAGGACTTCTTAGCCAAGTAGTTGAGTAACACTTGTCTCGGCTCTTTGTATTCATATAGAGGCACGCCAAAGCCGCATGATTGGCCGACCTCAATAATATCTCCAGTGATGATGGATCGGACGCCGACTCTGTCAATGAAATCAGGGAACAGCTCTTTCTGGAACTTGACAAATTCACTTGATCCAGCAGGATGAACAGCTCCTTTGCACCATAAGCGTATGATCTTAGGAGCTCCTTCAAACGCAGAAAACATGATGGTCATACGACCGTTTTCGTGCAAGTGGGTGACCGTTTCAATGCCAGAGCCTGTCAGTTCAAGGTAGGCGATCTTCTTTGGAGACAGAATGCGGAATGCGTCGTAGCCTTTAGGGGAAAGGTTAACTCTTCCGCTGCTGCTCAGGGGCGCTGTGCCTACAAAAAACAGTTTCTGTTCTTTGATCCAAGCTTGATCTTGTTCCGTTAATTCATTGCGAAATGTCACCATAGCTGTGCGCAGAAGCAGCGGAAACCAAAATTAAGGAATGATATAGGGGGATTTTTGATTAAAATCCGCAGTAGTTTACACTTGCTTACTTGAAATTTAGATTGAACTGGTTCGTTCCTAGGTGGTAAGGGAAAGTGCCGTGGGCAAAATGGCACTGTTGTTACCTTGGATCTAATGAACCTTATGGCGTCAAAGTGACTCAAATCTGGCACCCAATAAAGATGGCCGATATTCCAATGTTTGTTGAGCTTTATGTCAAAGATTTCCATGCGTTGGGAGCGGAGCAACTGCAAATGTCATCATCAAAAATACTTGTCACTATTCATACAATATCTGCTTTTATGCTAACCAATCATCAAGATTAGATGTAAGAATATGGGTGCTCTTTATGTTAATATTACAAGAATGGTATGAACGATAATCTATCAAAGGATGAAGAGGTTTGGACTACATTACAAAGCAGTTTCCAAAGGAACAGCAATGGCTGGAGGTGCTCTCAACAAAAGCTTGTGGATAGCGTTCATAGCCGTCAAGGCCATCTTCTCGTCAATGACGCACGAGATATTGATCTCACTGGCACCTTGTGAGATCATTTCAATATTGACGTTGCTTTCTGCCAACGTCGAGAACATTTTGCCGGAAATACCAACCATGTTCTTCATCTGCTTTCCTACTAAAGACAAAATGGCCATTTTATGAAGTACATCAACCTGATAAATAGAACCATTGGGAAATTAGCATGTTGGTCCAAAGCTCGTTTTAACCAATCTGAATTTCCAGCTTACCCTGCCCAATTTCTCTAATTCCGACCGTGCGCTTTCGAGCGTACTTTCTACTATTTCAGCACCAAGAGCCATGGAAACATGCACTTCAGAGGTGGAGATGAGATCCACAATGATGTTGTACTTATCCAGAATAGTGAAGATCTTAGCCAAAAAGCCGTGACTGACATTCTTGCGGTTGGAGTGAATATTAAGTACGCAAACGTTGTCCTTGACGGTAACGGCAGTAGGGTGCTTTCTAGTCAAATCTAAATGATATCCGTTTTGTGCCAAAACTTCCGGTGCAGGTGGTGGAGTGGCACTACCATTGCTGGCGGCGAGATCGGGGAAGATGATGGTTCCTTGACCCTTTGGATTCTCAACGTTTTTGATGCGAATGGGGATGGAAGCTCGGATCACTTGTTCCATGGTGAATGGATGGATTACTTCAGAACCATAGTACGTCAATTCGGCTGCCTCTTCTGGAGTGATGATGGGTAATAGACGAGCTCCTTCGACTTTGCGAGGATCGGCGGTGAAAATGCCATCGACCTCCTTCCAGATCTGGAGTTCCTGAGCATTCAGACCCACTGCGAGTAACGCTGCGCACAAATCAGTATAACCCCGTCCAATAGTGCTCAGCAAACTACCAGGAACATTTCCAAAAAAGCCTAAGCGAAAAAGTTTTTAGTAAATTGTTGCCTGGACAAATATTATGTTTTGCTTTAAAACACGAACCAGTGACCACAGGCACTTTGTTGCCGACTTTTTCAATGGCCTTGGCCATACGAGACGCAAGTTGGTCATAGAATGGCTGATCTAATATGGTGCTAGAATCACCTTCAATGATATTGCTCAAGGAGACGAATTCGGCATCGATACCCTAATGATATAGAATGAGTCACCTAGGCTACAATAAACGGTAATCAAGCCACCAAGGGCGGTCTACTTACCCTATCTCGGAGAGCAGCAGCCACGATACGACATGATAGATTTTCGCCAACACCAATGATGATATCCTTGGAACGGGGTGAGATTTCTTCTATGATCTGTTATGAAGATTATGGTATGTTAGTGGGGGAGAGGTGCGGAGTAATGGATGACGGAAAGGAGGGGGGGGTTTGAAAATCTAGCTCACCTGAGCAGCTTCCAAGAAGGACTTGAGTCTGATGCAGTCTTTTTCTATTTGTCGTTCCAGTGTCTCTAAAATAGCTCTATCTTGGATGATTTCTCGTGCTGCTTTGAGATGATCTTCAAGCAAATCCTTCACAATTTGTAAATGTTCTGTAGAATTAGGAGTCAAAGCCTCAATGGCTGCTCGGAGCAACCTGTCATGACGAAGGGTTCGGCTTAGCGAAGGAATTGAAAAGTCAGCTAATCGTCATGAAAGAAACCACCCGCTTACCGATTCGTTGTTCCTTTTGCCTTTGTTTCACCGCTTCTTGCAGAGCAAACAACAATCACTCTGTTGGTATTCATGTACGTTCTGTAGTAGGGGGAGTGATCCGTTAGATAAACCTTGGTTCAATGGGCTCTATTACTCAATTCATATCCTGGATCCCTTTACTGAGCGAAGGTGGATAGTATGTATTTTCCAGCACCCATCGAGTCCTGTTCTTTACTTCAAGTACCACTTGCAATCACCTCCACCAGCAGAGATTGCCTATAACCGTCACCCATAAGTAAAAGTTGACGGGTACTTACTGTACAATATTGGTCGATATTTCACCCAAAAACTTTCCTACACTAGTTCCACCATACTTTTGAATGACCCATGGCAGGTCTTCTATATTCGAGCGTAAAGCGGCGGGCGAAGGCATTGAATGGAAATGTTTAAGTTGTTCCTTTTGCAATCTTTAGAAAAAGTGGCTAGAAATGTAAGTGTGACTGCTCTCAATAGTCACAGTGATTATCTGCTCCCCTCATCAAATCATTTTGTTCGGAGAAAGTCTCAGCACGGATTTGTCATTCTTTTCCGATGCTTGGCCCTTTCGACATTCAAAGGGGAGCCATCTTAAGATTTGCTGGTGGTTTTATGTGCTTGGAAAATCTTATGAATTTCACAAGGCAATATCGATGATCGGATAAGCTATTCAAGCCTCTCTTCAGGGTCTGTCCAGTGGATTATCACGAGCCGTTGAGACTCGTAACACAGAGATCTGCGATTGAAGTACGAAAGATCTCGCATATTACTGGCCTTTGCTATGTCTCTCAAGCAATGGTCCGTGCAAAGATAACCATCGCCTCAAAACAAGCGGATTTGACAGGTAAACAATATTTTAGAGACACTTTTTCTTTGGATGTGTGCCATGACTGCTTCTTGACTGACACCAATTTTGAGGCTGGACAGCTAATCAAATTTTGATGATACAATTTCGCTATTGAGGACAAAGGTATAGAAGTATGCAAAACCTGTATTCTACATCTGTGCTTTATCTGAAATAAATAGTGGTAGCGGTGAAGTTCCTCAGTTTGGGAGTTTTTTTACATCATTAAAAGGGGATTTATCAGCTCGATCTACCGTATATTTGTTCGGCCGTGAGCATACTTGTGGCTTACTATGGTCTACTTTATTCAACACAGTCGCTCGTTTGACCTTTAAGCAATAATGAAAACAAGCAAAATAATGCGAAATAATTTTAAAGCAAGAAAAGCAAATTATATTCTCCAATAACCAAAACTTCTACCCGGATGTTAATCATTGGTTTTTTGACAAGTGTTTCTGTAGCCGACAGACGAAAATTATTCACGACAAAGTTGTAACTGGTGAGGGTCAATGATCGACTATTCGTGACAGTCCTTTTAGACAAGCTTTCATCGACAATTGTATAACCTATATATGTCTGGGACCGACTCTCGCCACCATTCAACGGAGGCCCATGGCTATACCGAATTTTGCAATTGCTGCAGAGCCGTGTCGTTATACAAGAGCTGGTCCCACGAAATTTTGCTTCATAAGGGTACCTCCAAAAAAGAGTAAAGAAATAAGTGGATATGAATGGTTGATGGCCGCATATGTAGCGCATCAATTGATTTTTTTTGGTATATAATTTGCAAAGGTACCTTTCCCGCGTGCCTGCTTCTGCTGGTATCCCTTGGCGCTCAAAATATAAAATAAATAATCAGAAGGCGCCATTTCTAAGACCTCTCTTTTAACTACATGTCTGCAAGGCAATTTGTCTGCTGGGGCGAAGCCAGAAAGGTCACTTACAAAACCTGGTAAAGTGCAAAATCCACGATTCGAAAAATCAGCTCACTTATACCGGGACTGCAGCTTGTATAACCCGGCAAACGACTGTTTATCAGGCGTACTCCCTCCATCAAAGGATGCACAGCCAACTACTCAACGCTGTCAGGAAAAGACGCGGTGACCGAGCAAGAGACCAATGATAACGCTATGCCTGGACTGGTGCCGCAAGTAAAATGTCCTTCCCATTCCCAAGAACAAATTTCTACACCAACATTGAAAGAGTTAAGGTTGCTCTCCTACCGAAAATTGAAAACAGCTTGTTATGGTCGACATATAGGCTGTTCCGACCCTAAGGAAACTAAGCTCAGCCAAGAAAATCTTTTTGATTTTTCTTGATCTATTATGTCTCATTTACATTACGCGTTGTATGTGATCACTTTAGGCAAAAAGGCTATAATAAAACGTGTCTTGGAGACGGGAATTGGATAATCGCCATTGATAGCAGGCGATAAAAAGAGACGGTGGTTTGCTTTTGGGCAATCCGCGCAAAGGGGGGATTTGATTGGCGGAATAAACTTCCCTAGAACTAGGTAAGAAAACTTAGAGTTACCATTTCACAAAATCATATTCAGTTATTTAAAGGAAAGAGGTAAAAAAAAAAATGTAGTAAAACAAGCCGTTACTCGCCTAGGTTCAACGTTTTGCCAGCGGCCCTGGACTGTTTAGTACGGAGAAAATTGAGGCATCGTGAGGAAGAGCAACGAGAGAGAGCAATTGCCACTGCCGAATTTCTCAAGAGAGGCGAGTTTAACCGCATCTCAGCTGACTTAGCAATGGTTTGGGTGGTTTCTAAAACTAAATCCGATATAGGCAAAAGGTAGTAACCTGATAGCTACGATCTCGATCGTAGAGCCAGCACCGTTATCCTGATTTGAAAATGTGGTGCCTCATTGAGCTCCACACGCTATTTTCCCGTAACCCTGGGGTGAGAAGGCTGTATCCTAATGTTTGGTATTGAAAGAAGTCTAAAGAACTCAGTCGATTGTTATAGAAGCATGGGGATTCCTATGCTTTAACCCATTCTTTTAGCGGCTTCCCGTGGACAAGAACCAGGCCCTTCGTACCACGCAGTTTATCCAGTCGCTCCACATGAGGTACGTGACGTGCGTGTAACTGCCTTTTCAGTCGCAATGAAACCTTTCATCGTGCTCGAGCCTTTTTCTTTCCTCCGTCTTCTTCCCTATGATGATGGGATGCTGGGCGTTGTAAAAATCAAAATAAACACGTAAGCTTTTGTTCGATAAAGGAACGCAATGCCACGATCTCTAGTCCAAGACGAGCAGCATCACATAGACCACCAACGCAACATGACACCAGGAAATGCAAATGATTTGATGGAGCAGACTGAAGACGGTCAACTCGAAAGTATCCCAGCTCCATTCGTAGCCCACGCATTGAAGAGGCTTGCCCCTACGTATTTTGATAATCAAGAGTATGCTGATTGCGAGTTGCGCTTAGAAGATGGTCACTTTCTGTGGGCGAACGAATTCTTTTTGACCTTCAGCTCAAAATATTTTGTCCAAGTCCTGGAATCAAAACATGATGAAGATGAACTCCATCCAGACCTATGCATAACAACGCACAACAACGTATCACTCTTTGTCATAACGTTACCCATTGACCCTCTCCATCGAAGAATACTCCGAGATATGATGTTTGCGGTATGTATCCCCGCCATTTGCATAAAATCACGTACCCAATGACTAAAGTTGAATATTAGGTGTATCGACAGGAGCATTTTCGGTGGCTTCAACAGCTAAATCCTGCTCAGTTTGTCATTGCTACACAGATAATGGAAACGTTAGGCTTCACATAAATCAAAAACCAGCTGTATGCATCACTAAAGACACGAAAAAGTCGCGGTCGTTGATCTCTATACGGCTTACTTCACAACATGCCACCCCACTACGAAAAAAAGGCGAAATAAGATTTCTATTTTTTTTGTGTTTAATTCTAGATAAAAAGCTTTCGGGTCCCCATTACAGCAAAGTATTATTTTATAACGTATTGGCTATATACATCATCCTTCAAATCGTTTTCTTTGAAAGCTTCGAGGTTTCTTCTCGGTCTCCGGCATAACCGTCGTCCTCAACTCGCAAGTAGTCGATTGTCGCTTCTGATCCGAGACCATCTTGCTCTTCATTGTGTTTAAATCCTGATCGCCTTGCGACAGGTAGCCGTAATTCACCAAACGGTTTCTGTACATTAAGCGTCGTCATCGAGTCTACTTTCATGCCTCCGCCTTCACTATGGATCAGACTGCCGGTGCGACTACGTCGACCAGTACTTTTTCGTCGTTTATGTGCGGTAATTTCAACTTCGCTGGCCGAACCCGTTATACCTCCACTGTTGCGATCCAAAAAGTACAATGAATCGTCGACTTCGCTTTCTTCTTGTCGACTCCAGTTAAAGATATTGCGATCGTCCAGCCAATCTATCCGCGCTGCCGCATTGGTGAAGAATCCACTAGCCAATCTCTGCAAGTCAATACCGGGTGTACTTGGTCCACTGGAATTGGCGGCATCCATAGCAGCCACGGATGCTGGCCTAAACACATTGTCCGCTGTAATGATGAGAAAAATAAACAAAATGTCAACAGATTGTTTTTTTGTTTTAGAAAAAAAAAAGGAGGCAGTGTGTGAGAAGCAGACAAACTCGATCACATTCACTTACGATCAAAATCATTGAAAACTTTAGGAGCATATTCATTAATGAGATCCGTGATATCGGTTGATAAGCGTTCACGATTCTGTCGCAAGCCTTCAGCGCTATCACGATCCACGAGCCGTACGTATAACGGACGAATAGACCTATTTGTTTGAGACATGCAAGTTAATTAAATCAGCTTAACTCTCTGTGAATCATAAACTGATTCATGACTGTACCTGTACACCTCAACGCCGTTCTCCGCAAATCGCATGCTAGCATAGCTTATAAAGGGTAAGGTATTCCATATGGTCAAAGGTATAAACACCTTGTATTTCCAGTTCCATTCCGTTCGCATCAAAAATATGAATGCGACGAAGCTGTATAACCCATACAGAGTCGGAATGAGCACCAGACCGACGAGAAGCTTCCATGTTGCTAAGACATCCCGCCCTGCTAACTTGACAGTTGATCCAGCCAATGCCTCTATTGTGTTTGAACATATACAAGAGGTTAATAACATATCCTGAACATCCGCATATCATTACTAAGTCAAGGTATACCTTTTGCCTTCCGCGTACTGATGTACTTTGCTACAATTGCGATTGGAAGGTTGAGAATAGCACTAAGAAGGACAACGCATGTGAGGAAATTGAATGTAATGTGAAAGAATGAATAGAGGTAGTCATACCCTGGGAAGGCTAAAATGCCCCATACCGACAATATCATGAGTCGATACGACAGCAGGGCAAAGGTTTCCCGTCTTCTTAAATTGGTTTTTGGTACTTGGTGATCTTTTAAGCCATGATACTTGATAAGTTGGTTATACGCAAGAACTTTATGCTGCAGCTCGATCACTTTAGGGTCATCCTTATAAATATTATAGCCGATTACGAATCGACGATTAAGGTCCACAACTTGTGAAATATGCAACTTTCGATGAGCAGGTTTGTACAATCTTCGAGCTGCTTGGATCATCTGAAAGGTAAAAAGCAAAACAGAGTTGACTACCATGTTCTTCTCATGATCACATAGTTGAAAGTATTACTTACCATCAAAGTTTCGTAGTTACTGGCATTGACTGTAACGCTTTTAAGTGCATTATAAATGATATCCAATAACTTTGAGCAGACATCCCGTTTCGTGTTACCCCCTTCCTTGAATTTCTGTACCATATCAGCACTGATTGTAACTGGATCTCCAAACTCAATGACTGCTCGAGAGCGGAAACGATGTGCGTGAAAATAATTTAAACCTACAATGCACCTATTAGTACATCCGTTGTCGGAGAGACGTTTGCTTAAATAAAATACATACCGCATGGAACAATTTTAACATCAAGTCCAGGGTATTTCGCCATTGCCCCTAAAGCCATCAAAGTGACACCGGCTAAGGGGATTCGTAAATATGGCATGTTTATGAACGAGATTTGTTTAGCATGGTGTTTTACAAACAAACATGTCTTACCTTTTAATGGCAGCATCTCAGCGCGGTCATGACTACCTCCTTCAGGGAAGATGGTAATACACTGGTTATTGTTTAGTTCATCATGCACAACTTTGTACACAGAATCTTGTTCGACGTGCGGTATACATTTGTACGCACTGCCCTCTGGTGAGGTTAGAAGAGCAAGGGCTTTTGCTTCCTTAACTTCTTTCTTGATGAGGATCTCTGTGTCGGATAGTACCTGAACAACTTCCATTTGTGCAACATTTTTGGGTAAGACAATTGAGAATTTAGGTTGTAATTCTGTGGTAAACTTGGTGTCGATGCCTGTAATTCGTAATGGATCCGTCTTGGTGTTGAGAAGCTGAATTCTGCCTTGTCCGGGCTTGGCCAAGTCTTGAGGCCGAATAACAGGAACTAAAAGATAATAACAATCGACATGAGTGAGGTTAGCATATCCATTGTTGGCTGCGCATAAAGCTTATAAATTTTTTGGGGGAAACAGGCTCATTATGTCCCAATTGTCGATCTCCTCTTTTCCCCAAACAGTCCAACGTGACTTACTGGCGTTAATCATGCGAGCGAACATGCCTATGCCTCTTTGATGCATTGATTTCTCTGCTATCAAAAAAGATACCCGTCGTCCACACTCTCGCATAAGAATGAGAGGATCGACAAACTACAAAAGATGACAAATTGGTTCGGTTAGCAATGTTGGATGGACCTATGAAACTAATAAGGTGTATGCTTCATATTTGGAAACTGTTTAAAGACGACAATGTTGAAAGGGTCGGTTGGTAACACTTGGCATAAATGATTATGCAGATAAGTGAAGTGTAGATACGTCGCTTTGAGCTATAGATGTGCTTTGGCGTGCTTAATTTCTTATGTTTCATTTCATGCCGAGTCGAGATAATAGGCTGCTTAAACTGCTATAGTAGAGGACAAGCTACTCACTTGATTAACATGCGGGGCAACGACAAAAATGACTGGACCTTCTCGAGGGATCCTATGAGATCCTCTTGGGCGAATCTCCTTGAAGAAGACATCGAGCATAATATTAAAGATCCATAGCGCTAGATCGTAGAAAAAGTTGGTCCTAGCCTGTGCCATGTCTTCATAAGAAGAACCAGACAAGTTCAATTGAAGGATCACTAGAAAGTTCAGAGGAGGTCAACTCAAACGTGGAGTCAAGAAAACCTTACAGTGTGACTGGCAATGAAAGCGGTAAATCAAAAATTGGTAGGGTGTTTCTTTTTTTTTCATTTGGGCTTTGATGCTTGCCAGGATAACCAGTCTTTTAGGCCGATCTCGTACGTCATTTAGAGCAATGTCATCCACTTCACAAAGCGTTCAATTACCAGAGAAGCGATCTACGGAGGAAATGAAAAAGGAGGAGCAGAAGTCCGATTCAGCCCCTCAAGATCGACCATCAGCCGAGTCGTCCGACGCGACCACCCCCTCGGCTGCCGCAAAGCGTATTAAGACGGCGAAGGATCGGAAAGATCATTTTGACAAGAAACAGAGCTGGAAAGCGAAAGACTGGGCTACAAGCGGGAAAAAACCGGTCAGAGATGGCCCGGCTCCTGAGCGTAAACCGAAAAAGAAGGTTGCCGTCTTGGTTGGGTTTTGTGGTACTGGATACCAAGGCATGCAAATGTATGTAGGATGGACGTGAAGGAATCGCTGTAAAAAATGAGCTTGCTCAGCTATGACCACTGTTTTCTCATCCAATAATGTTGAATTTCCAGAAATCCAACAGCAAAAAGCATCGAAGGAGAGTTGTTCAATGCATTCTGCAAAACCGGAGCAGTGTCTGAGGATAATTCCGATGATCCGAAAAAGGTGAGATGGGTTTATGATTGAAAACTCTGAACAAGGTTAACTTCATACTGACGGATGGGTAATATGAAAGGTCAGCTTCACGAGAGCTGCGCGAACAGACAAAGGAGTGCATGCTGCTGGCAATGTCGTTTCCTTAAAGTTGATCGTGGAAGACAAAGATATCGTCTCAAAGATCAACTCATATCTGCCGGATCAAATTAGAGTGTGGGGTAAAGAAGGTTTCCGAAGGACGCGGATTGGGCACGTGTAGAACGTCACTGACTGATTGTTACCATGGCAGGCTATGTACAAACTATGCGAAACTTCAACGCCAAAACTGGTTGCGACTCTCGAGTGTATGAATATCTCCTCCCCACTTATACACTGATGGCTAAGAAGCCCATCGACCCTGTTCTTCTTGAAAATGCCGCAGACCAAAAGTTGATAGAACTGCCACCACCTACAGCAGAAGAACTTGCAGAAAAGCGAGCCTACCGAGCTAGTGAGGAACAGCTAAAGGAAGTAGCAAACATTTTGAGCGCCTTTGAAGGCACAAACAATTTTCACAACTACACCATTGGCCGCCACTATAAGGACCGAGCTTCCAGTCGCTACATCATGAGTTTCAAGGTATATATGTGTACTACCCCCATGCTGTATTTGTGTTCCTCCCCAAAGTGGGTCATATGCCCACTACAAACTCGGATTGTTGCTGACGGTACTGTATTGTTTGGAATGGACTAGGTTGACAAACCACAATATGTTGATAATATGGAGTGGTTAAGTCTCAAAATTCACGGACAGTCATTCATGCTCCATCAAATTCGCAAGATGGTTGGTAAGTAGGAATGACCCAAGCCATCCTAGGAATAGCTTGTATGTCCGGCTAACGCATTCTCGTTGCAGGTATACTTATTCTTGCCATTCGGAGTGGAACACCAGCAGCGCTGATCAGCAAAACATTTGGCCCGGAAAAACTCAATATACCAAAGGCACCCGCTCTTGGTCTACTTCTGGAACGTCCTATCTTTGAAACCTACAACAAGCGAATCTCAACAATAGATGAAGGGCGCGAGCCTGTGAAATTCGATGATTACGAGGTAAACATGAGTTTCTTTTGACGTTACTGTACGAGTGTTGGCAATGCAGTGTCCCGGGCAAATTAAAACTCAATTTTCACCTCGTATTCCATAGGAAGAAATTAATGCATTCAAAAGCAAATACATTTACTCTAAAATATACGAAGAAGAGGTCAGGGAGAATGTGTAAGTGGTCTTGGTACGTTCAGTAATTTGCTATGTTTGTCGTAACTCATTTATTTTGCGCCTCTTAATTCTATAAGGTTTGACGGGTGGTTGCGGCTAATTGACGGCTATAGAGGAGTTGACTACGGATACTTGAATCCAGAAGGTGTGATTCCTGAAACTTCTGTGATAGGCAAAGGACAAGAGAGGATGATGGACACAGAAGATATTGAAGACGCCCAGGCTGATGATCGAGAGGGCTAATTGGCAGAAGTTCTGAACTTCTCACGGTTCGGGCAGACAGTGAACCCAAAACGGAACAAAAGCTTGCGTTTTTGCGGGGTGTGTTTTTCCCAGCTTACAAGCAAGTCGTCACCATTTTGTAGAAATCAAACGCTTATATAAACAGCTTTTGCCCCCTTCTTCACAAGATTTTTCATCTCTCTTTATTTTTTTAAAATATGACTGCCTCAAAATTTATCACTGAATACACCACCGAGCGTGGCTATGACTTGAAGCGTATGTAGCGATTGTCCTCCTTTTCCCATGTCACGATATCTGGAGATGGGTACTGATGTTTTCTCTCGATTTAGTTCAAACTGGTCTTTTCATCAACAACGAATTCGTTGGCGGTGACAGCCAGATTGAAACCGTCAACCCTGCTAACGGAAAGGTTATTTGCAAGGTTGAGGCTGGTATGTATCCTCTTATATGGACACTGACGTTTTCACGCGCCCATGGCTAAGAGTTTCCTTACGCCTTAAACAAATTAGCTGGCGAAGAGCAAGTCAATGCTGCTGTCGACGCTGCCGAGAAGGTGAGTTATCCAGAGGATTAGATCATCTTTAGACTATGAACTAGTCATACTAAACCAAACTCCGGCTGTTTCTAGGCTTTCGAAGAAGTTTGGTCCAAGACTACCCCCCAGAAGCGCAGAGATTATATGCTCAAGCTTGCAACTCTCGTTGACAGAGATCACGAAGAATTGTCACAAATCGAGACTTTGGATAACGGCAAGGGTATCACTTTCTCACGAGGATTCGATGTTCGTGAGCTTGCTGAATGCATTCGTTACTACGCCGGCTGGACCGACAAGGTACACGGAAAGGTCATTGAAACTGAAGGTGTCCTCTCATATACTCGTCACGAACCCATTGGTGTCTGTGGTGCTATCATTCCCTGGAACTTGTAAGTCATTCGTGTTGGCCTATTTTGAAATCCCGAAATGAACTCCTTTCTCACTAATGGTGTAATGAATGCAGCCCAGTACTTATGCTTGCATGGAAGATTGCCCCAGCTCTTGCCACTGGTAACTGTGTTGTCATCAAGACTTCTGAGTTGACTCCTCTTTCTGCCCTCAAGGTTGCTGCTCTGGTTAAGGAAGCCGGTTTCCCTCCTGGCGTCCTCAACATCATCACAGGTTATGGTCACATCACTGGTGATCTTCTCGCCAGACACAAAAAGGTTGGCAAGATTGCCTTCACTGGCTCCACCAATGTCGGACGTTTGGTTATGAAGGCTGCTGCTGAGAGCAACCTCAAGAAGGTTACTCTTGAACTCGGTGGCAAGTCCCCTAACCTCATCTTTGACGACGCTGATCTTGATTTGGCCATCAAGTGGGCCTTCCGTGGTGTTTTCTTCAACCACGGTCAAACCTGCTGCGCAGGTACTCGTATCTATGTCCAAGAAGGTATCTACGACAAGTTCATTGAGAAGTTCAAGGAACACACCTCCAAGGCCAACATTGGTCATCCCCACGATGATGCCACTTTCCAAGGCCCTCAAGTTTCACAGACCCAATATGATCGCATCATGGGCTACATCGACACCGGAAAGAAGGAAGGTGCCACTCTTGCTTTGGGTGGCAAGCGTTGGGGTGAGGAAGGTTACTACATCGAGCCTACCATTTTCACTGATGTCAAGGAAGACATGACCATCATGAAGGAGGAAATTTTCGGTCCTGTCGTTTGTGTTTCCAAGTTCAAGACTGATGACGAAGCCATTCAACTCGCCAACAACACCAACTACGGTTTGGCCTCTGCTATCTTCTCCGAGAGCAACAGACGCTGCATCGAACTTGCCAAGCGCATCAAGGCCGGTACTGTCTGGGTCAACTGCGTTAACGTTTTGCACGCTAACACTCCATTCGGTGGCTTCAAGGAGTCTGGCATCGGTCGCGAGAATGGTGAATATGCTTTGGACAACTACACCCAAGTCAAGGTCGTCAAGATGGCCACTACTTTGCCCGCTTAAGCTAAAAAATAATAGTAATAATAGCTGAACTCACATAGCATATATTTATTTACCCGCGTAGCCAAAGAATGCATGTATTTTTTTGTTTCTTTGAGGAAAAAGATTTAGCTTGCACGCTTGAACCCCCCAAATCCCCCATATAAATAAAAAAAATTCAATCACGCAAAGCAAAGAAGTGTATAGGTCGCCGTTGCAAATCAGACAAATGCTCACGTTTAGTCGCCGTTCACGGCTTTTAACAGTGCGCTGAACGCCACAACGCCGAGCTTGTCAACCATTCATTCACAAAAATGTCCATGGTACCAACCATTTTTTACTGTGCTTAATCAACCAATTTAAAGTGATTATCAGGGAAATGGCACTAGTGAAGGTTGAGTTGATTCCCAGATATGTGGAAGAAGCTGATTCGAGAGTACGTCATCCTTTTTTTTTTCGCAAGCAATAATCTTTCCCAATCTAATCGATTTGATTTTGAAAAGGAGTAAAGTCACGTTTCCCCCGTCGTTGTAAAGGAAAGCTTAAACCCGCCTTTGCACGCCTTTTGCTCCACGGGTTAGCCGCCCTGTCCTGCCCACGCAGACCCATTCGAGGGTTACCCCACTTTGACGGAGTTTCAAATCAAGCAGATAAGGCTAGTTTGTTGAGATGACTGTGAGCCATGATTTGGGTGTTGACAGAGAGGTATGTCAAGCAATGTCCAATGCTTTCAGCAAGTTCGAGAGCAGGTGGGTTAGCTTGGGTTTGCACACAATGGACATCGAGGTGGAAGCCCAAAACAGATGCTGTGGAACACCCCACCATCCACCATCCTTTTAAGATTTTTTTTGGCTCCGCGGGATCTTAATCCCTCTATTATACTGTCTCATTTTCCCGACTGTGTCCCAGACATCTCTCGATCATCCCTTCCCCACATCAAAAATAAACATGTCTCAACATCAGGCCAAGGAATCCCTGGGATCTATTGAAAACCTCATCCATGCTATAGCTGGTATTCAGCACGTTGAAGAACCATACTACCAGAAGGTCATTGATTACAAGATGCTGGCCTCGGAAGTCCCACCTGTGGAGAAGCTTGCTAATGACGCAAAGGCAAAGACGTAAGTTGCAAGCACGGATCCAGGATGAAGTACCTATGCTTATTGACATGTTGTGAATAGTGAAATCTGGCAGATCACTAGAGGTGATTTGGATAAGTGGTCTTTGGCCTGGGCTATGGCCAAAATTACTGTAAGTACAAGTCTTGCTGTATCGATTTCCTTAGGAGGGAGTACTCATGAGATTATTTCTAGTGCGATTTGGAAAGACAAAAGGAGGCAGCTGATAAGGGTCTCCAAAAGGCTCGCGGTTTGGAAGCTGAAGCTAAGGAGAAGGTGGACGTTATCAATGAAAAACTTTCAGATATTGAGAAAGACGTAAGTGCATCAGAAGATTGACCACAGAACCCAGCCTTCACCTCTTTGAACCATGATATATTAACGACTTGTCTTTTAGAACGAGAAGAATGCTATTGACCACCGTACGCTGTTGAGATACCGAGAAGAGCTTGAGTCTCTTTTCGAACCGGTATGTATATATGCCGAACGGCGCCTGATCAAAATTTCCTTATCCTCACACTTGCTTCATTTCAGATCTTTGTTGGACAAAAGTTCCCCACTGACGAAGATTTCCAACTTCGATTGACTGAACTCAAAGAGGAGAAGGATGCCTGTGATAAGGAGATTGAAGTTACTGCTCGCGTCCTCGAGCTTTTGCAAGAGGTCGATACTGCCCTTATGGAAGGCATTATCGACTTGACTTCATCTAAAAAGGAGACTGGCAGTGGTAGAATCTTTTTCCCTGATGCCGCATTCAATGCTCTGAAAGAGGCTCGTGTGCTTTTGCCTTCTCTCCCCAGCATCACCCCTCCGGATACGTAAGTATTGCTGCTACGGACATTGTAATAGTTGTATGTCAAATTTGTTCCCTGACTCGCTACCATCTTCCCTTTAGATTCACCGAAACTGCCGATAACACTGGTGCCTATTATTCACCTATGCAACGCTATTTGTGGGAAGTCAAGGACAAGGTTGCCGATTTGATACCGTGGTGCCAAACCCGAACACTGGATAATGCTAGAAAAGTCATCCAACTAGAATTGCAGATTGGTCAGAAGACTGACGAACGAAATCTCGAGAGAAGACGGTTATTGAAAAACGTTATCCTCAGCGCGTAAGCGGGTGTCTGGTACAAAACTACTTACTGTTTAAATTCGTTTTGTCCTCATTTCGTATATTATCTATTGTTATTTGTTTTCTTTACCTCATCATGTTGTACGATCATTTTTTAGCAAAAATAAATGCTGTAACAGTACTTGGAACAGTACTCTTAATAAACGTGATAATGGCTCAAGGCAGCGCCCAAGCTATAGAACTGACTTTTTTTCTCACATGAGTTTTTGCATACATTATACGATGGGCATCTCCCACATACTCATAGTAGTAGCAGATCATAATGCATAATGGGTATGAATAGTGCTTATTGTTTTTAAAATACGTGTGTCTAGATATGTTGATTTCATGACACCGTTGAGAGAAAAAAATATTTCGTTCTTGAACAGCTTCCTTTTCGGGCGGCCAATTGACGAGAAAAATTGCATTGTTCGTCGACAAATTCGCTCTGTTTTTCCATTTTATTTCTTGCCAGTACACTACAAAGTGCCAAAAACAGGATAATATAAATATATACTTCTTCTACTGCGTATATCCAAGTTTAAGTGGGCTTTCTTTTAGACATATCGAGGGGAAATTGTATAAATCATATCAAAGCCTTTTCCGTCCAAAGTAGTACAAGGTCCTTGACTCTAGGATGGCGTCTAAAGAAGTACTCTAAGTTAATAATTTGCTATAAATACTGGGCGTTGAGGCGCAAGGTCTACCTATCTCTCGCATTCTTTTTCTACTCTCCCTTATCTTCGTTCTCTATCAACATCATGGCCTTTCCAATGAGCGTAATTATCCTGCAGTGCAGTAACTTTATCTATTTCCTGACCAGCCTTATCTCCTTGATGGTGATGGCTGCTACAGCAGACAAGACTCTTCAGTCCGTCTTATGGTCTTTGGGAAAAAATACCAACGTCGACGAAATGTCTACCAAGGTAAGCTTATTCCATCGTAGCCAGAGCGCGAGCCACTACAGATTTCCTGACCTGAATGGTAGCCAACAAAGGACACAAAAAATTCCTCTACTTTGCCGCCCAAGCCCATGCTGACTGGAGAAACAGCAGTAAAAGTGAATAATAGCATTAAAACGACGGAACTTGTTTTAGTTTCCATGGATTTCAAACATGGCACTGAATATGTACACGACAATGATCCTGTAAGTACCACAATGGACAGGACCATCAAATCAATTTGATTATCTGTTGACTCTTGTCTTTCAATACAGATTCTGCTAGCCCCGTACAACTATCTTATAGGCCACCCTGGAAAGTCCATTCGCTCCAAGATGATTCAGGCTTTCAATCACTGGCTGCAAGTTCCTGCAAAGTCCCTTGCTACCATTACCCGGGTTGTTGAAATGCTTCATAACGCTAGCCTTCTGTAAGAGCCATTTTTATCTTCAAATTTTGCTCTCTTTTTTAGGCAAGCCATGTTCATTAACACATATTTGCCTATTTAAAAGAGTTGACGATATTGAGGATGACTCTACCTTAAGACGTGGAGCTCCGGTAGCCCACCATATCTATGGTATGGCTCAGACGATCAATTGCGCCAATTATGCATACTTTCTTGCTGTACAAGAGCTCCAAAAATTGAACAATGTCCAAATGATGACAATCTTTTCAGAAGAGATTTTGAATCTACATCGTGGCCAAGGGATTGAGTTATTCTGGCGCGATTCCATTACATGCCCCACGGAAGAAGAATTTATCAATATGATTAACAACAGTATGTGTTTATGTATTTTTCATCTGTATTTTTGCTGTGGGTGCTCGCTAGGAGAAATTTTGGTCAAGTCATTCTAACATCACGTTAAACAGAAACTGGTGGACTCCTTAGACTCGCTGTGCGACTGATGATGACTGCTAGCAACGTAGAAATGTAATGCGAGATGTATCAATGATCATGATCCGGGTGAAAATGCTAATTTTATGTGTTGATAGGGACTATACTCGCCTGGTCAATTTAATTGGTATTCATTTCCAAATTAGAGATGACTACATGAACCTCCAATCAAAACACGTAGGTGATCACTTTTCATTGTATATAAACATAGACGCACGAGTTCTAATTTCGAATGATCAAACTGTACGATCGTACAGTATACTGATAGCAAGGGCTTCTGCGAAGATTTGTCCGAGGGCAAGTTTTCGTTCCCGGTTATACATTCCATCAGAGCAAGCCCCAATGACCCCCAATTACTGGAGATTCTCAGGCATAAGCCTCAATCAATTGAACTCAAGCAATATGCACTTAAACTCATGGAAGCAACAAATACATTTGGCTATACCAAGCAGTATCTTCGTGACTTATTTATTGACATCCAACAAGAAGCCTGTAAATTCGGCAACAATCCTGTGCTCGATAAAATCTTGGTTCAATTGGACGTTCAGGATTGAAGCTGCTGATGGGTAAAAATATGTTTTTTTGTATCAACCCTCCGGAAAGGGGCTTGTGGAATATAAGTTGCTTTTTCTTTGGCTCAATTTAGGACAAGGAATGTTAGCTTATATCAATACCGTAGCAGACTTATTTCTGGAAGTAAAAAAAATATCTTTGTAATTTTTTCTGTTCCCGCGCTGCAAAAGTACAAAGAGTTTGCCTGCTTTTGTCCATTGCCGCATTACAAAGCATTCGGACATGACTTCCCAGGCTGCTGAATCAGATGCTCTCCTAATCACCCATCGGCACACCAGCTACTCTACTGTCTCAACATTAGTCTCTTCCGATAATCTCACTCGGTCTGACGTTGCAGTCGATGGTAGCTCAAAGATAGATACCGGCGACGTCGATAAGAGCTATTTTTCATGGAGTAAGCTTTGGAAATACACTGGCCCAGGTAAGACTTCTTGTTTAACTCTTTTAGAGATTACATGGCGCCAAGTCTGTGCGGCTTTGCTGATCCTTACTCGAAATTAATACCCAAACTAATCCTCTTTTTGCCCATTATGTCTCAATTACCACACAACGTGTTACGAACAGGCTGGCTAATGTAAGCATATCATAACGACTTTCTATGGGCAAGCCTAAACTATGATACTAACATCTACTTTCATATAAGGTCGATCGCCTACTTAGACCCTGGGAATCTTGAATCGGATCTCCAGAGCGGAGCTCTTGCGGGATACAAGCTTCTATGGTTATTGATGTGGGCTCATGTTGCCGGTACGGTAGACTAAACTGCGTGATCTGTCACGTTACCCAGAAAAATTAATACATTTGTGCAGGACTTATTATACAAATCATGGCATCCAGACTGGGTGTGGTTACAGGCCAGCATTTAGCTCAACTTATACGACACAACTATCGACGAGAGGTGTCTTTTATATTGTGGGCCTTTACACAGCTGGCTATCATTGGTTCAGACATGCAGGAAATCGTAGGAACCGCCATCGCTCTCAAAATCCTATTTGGCTTGAAACTATGGATTGGCGTCATCATCACTGGGTTTGATACACTCACCTTCATATTCATACAAGGTGCGAGGAAATTGGAAATTGGCTTCATGGTTCTCATTGGCATCATGGCCGCTTGTTTCTGGATTGAGATGATCAAATCCAAGCCAGATTTGGGGCAAATTGTCGATGGTATCATAGTCCCCAGGGTCCCATCCAATGCTGTTGTCCAAGCCGTCGGTATGCTTGGGTGTGTTATTATGCCTCATAACATGTATCTGCACAGGTAGGTGTATGTATTGACTGATGTGGGTACAGAAAGCAGGCGTTAATGTTTATGCTTGTAGTGCTTTGGTGATGACTCGTGATCTCGGAACTAGAGCAACTAAGAAGCTCAAGGAAGCGAATTTTTATTTTGCTGTAGAATCTGGCCTCGCACTTACCACATCGTATCTGATCAATCTCGCTATTGTCGTGGTGTTTGCCAAAGTCTTCTACTCACCCGACATGCCTGCTGATACCCCTTTGCCTGGGTTGTATGACGCAGCAACCGTATTGGTGAAGACTTTGGGAGAATCATCAAAATACTTTTGGGCATTTGGACTTTTAGCAGCGGGGCAAAGCTCAACATTTGCGAGTACACTTGCTGGACAATATGTTATGGACGGTTTCTTTGGAGCCGTCTTCCGTAAACAATGGCATCGTATTGTGGTCAATCGCAGTATTGCCTTGGTTCCAAGTTTGCTAGTTGCGGTCTTGGCTGTGGATCGATTCGACACAATGGGCGAATTTCTAAACGTTGTTCAATGGTAAGGAGACAGATTCAAAACATCCACACCAACAGCACAATTTTTCTAAAAGCTTCTTTCCATAGTATCTGCCTTCCAACAGCAGTAATACCCATCCTTAAGCTCAATGCGTCCGCTTCCATCATGCAAACCGAATTCCGAGCTTCCAAATGGCTATCGTTTGTTTGCTGGACTCTTTCACTGATCATTATCGGATTTAATATTCTCATTTTCCATACATTTCTTAATGAAATGGAGCTTCAGTCGCCTATTGTGGGTTATATCATAGGTGGAACCTATCTGGCCTTCTTAGGATATCTCACTATCACACCTCTTCGTGCCCATCATCAAGAGAAAAATAGCCCTGATACACAATGGGAAGAAGATTCTATCGGCACGCCGTAACTTTTCCTTCAACATCATAATTTTGCATACCACTTCATCGCATATATATCCTGCTTTTTTCTTACACGCTTTGTAAATTTACCCCTTTTTCTTTTCGACTTTTGTGTTAATAAATGATGTATTGATTTGAATTTACAAGTTGAAGCTGTACAGCAAACTTTAGAAATTAAGTAACATTAATCGTCAACTGAAGATTAAGCGAATCACCATGCAAGGTAACCGCCATCCACAACCAGATCAGAACCAGTGACGAACGACGAAGCCTCACTTGCGAGGTATACAATAGCACCCTGAAGTTCGTGAGGCAAACCCATTCGTGCCATAGGGGTGTTTTCTTCCCACGCTGCTTTCATTGCAGCACCTTCCGCGCCGCGATCGGCAATAACCTGCTTTGTCAAATCCGTTGCCATGTATCCTGGTGACACTGTGTTCACTCGGATCTTGTGGGGAGCCCACTCGCATGCCAAAGACTTTGCAAGGTGGATAACAGCTGCCTTGGAGGCGTTATAAGAGCATTGTGGTTGCGGCTTGTTGACGATATGAGCTGACATGGATCCAATAAGAATGAGTGATCCACCCGATGCTTGCTTCATCATTTCCCTATAGTCATTGTATAGTCAATATAACACGTTTTCATTCAAAACCCAATATCCTCGCTTTCGCTTACTTGGCGGCCGCCTGACAACAGAAAAAGGTTCCATTGACATTGACGTTCATGATCCTGGCAAAATCTTGAGGGCTGTGCTCCTCTGCCTTGACGTTCTTCACAATACCAGCAGCAGTCACCAAGATATCAATGGAGCCATGTTGTTGAGCAATTTGCTCAAACAGCGTTTGCACCTCCTCATAGCTGGTCACGTCGCAAGCCCAGCTTGTAGCCTTCACCTTGTACTGTTGTTCAATGTCTACGCAGGCCTGCGCACCCATCTCCGCTAACAAATCAACACAGGCTACAGATGCTCCACACTCGGCCAAGGCACGCATCATTTCGAGACCTAGTCCTCTTGCTCCTCCCGTCACTGTAACACTGGTTCATCAGACATGGCCACTGGACATCACTCCGCGTTCAAGATATACCACTTACCAACAGCTGTCTTTCCATTCAAAGAGAAGCGAGCAAGAACACCAGAGGGAGCAGACATGATAGTATGAAGATAAATAGAGGTAAGAAACAGAAGAGATCGTGGGGTAAACTAGCGTTTTATATTCAAGCATGGACGCCGGATTATTTGTCCAAATATGACTTGCAAAATTTCATTAGGCCGAGCTTTGCTTTTTCGGCTCAGACTAATTGCCTTATTTGACTTACCCTTGGAAAACTCTACACCGCTTGGCTGGCTGTTGCAGTAGAGGCCAAGGCACTTCTTTTGGGACATGAATTGCAGTAGACCATGCTATTAACATGGGTAATAGATGCTATACACTGTCGTAGAATTGTGTTCTACTTTATGCGCTCAAGTAGCTGGTCCGACATTCTAAAGTTTGAGCGCTTGCACCAAGAATACGAACCAATAGAATACTATCCGGTACAGTGCGCTTTTGGTAAATAGCAGTTTCGACCGAAAACTTCATTTTAAAAAGTGCAATCTGGATCCACCAAAGTCGTTTGTAGTATAAACTCATGCATCGCTCTTAAGCTGAATTGGTTATTTTCTCCGTATACTTCAAACCGATGGATTTATTCTCGAATTTGTAAGAACGGTAGACTTGAGCTTTGCAACTTTAATTCTAACCACTTATATTTTTACGTGTCATTTTGGCCATAAACTGCCTTCCTGGTGCCCAACCTTCCATTTTGCTTGTAATAAGCCTAGGACTTGTCAAGCACTATTTACCTCAAACTATATGGGACGTATCTTGAGTCAATCGCAAGTAATGACAGCATTTTATAACATTATGGTATCTTTAACTTGGATAAAGCTATTCAATGGTTGGCTTATGAGCTATAAAACACTTTGAATATTTTAGCCATACATTGACAGACTGTGAAATGAAACGAACTGGGTTGAATTTTTGGTGTGGTGCACGCTCGAAATTTTGGACTGTCGAGGGTGACGTGCAATTTGAGCCTCTGAGGCCCCGCTGGCCCATATTAGTCTGTCAGAAGTGTGGATACCGATTTTCTTTCTCTCAACTCATTATGGTGAGTAGCCCTTATAATCGATGAATCTACAACCATTGCTTTACATCCATCCGGCTATCCGAACGATGCATGGATGGATGGGTTGATGTGAAGCGAAAAACGGCACCAATATCGACATTTTCGTCTTGGTCCATTGACCAATTTGCACATCAGCACATTGGCTGACATTGCCAGCACTCTTCTTTCACAACAACTACACACCATCCACCTCGTAGTAGAGTCCACATCAAGACATGCGTTTACCAACTGGTTCAGCAGTGTTGATTGACTCACTCTACCGCCCAATGTACTTTCAATGATTCCCTACCTCAACTACCTGATCACTGATTTCCCCCCCCCCTTTTTTTTTTCTTCTTCTCAACTTTCAGGCTAAGAAGGACGCTGCTGCCAAGCCCACGTCTTCATCTGGAGGCAAGAAGGCCAAGAAGAAGTGGTCTGCTAAGAAGGTCAAGGATAAGTCCAACAACATGGTTGTCCTCGACAAGCAGACCTACGAACGTGTCTTCAAGGAAGTCCCTACCTACAAGTTCATCTCCCAGTCCGTCCTCGTTGACCGTCTTCGCCTCAACGGCTCCCTTGCCCGTGTCGCTATCCGTGAACTCGAGGATCAAGGTGTCATTCGCAGAATCACCCGCCACGCTTCCCAGGTTATCTACAGTAAGTACATTCCCCCCTCTTGTCTTGGTCCATTATTTCAGTCAACTGACTTTTTTTCCTCTACCAGCCCGTGCTACTGGTGGTGATGACGAGAAGAAGGCCGAGTAAATGTCTGTGATTTGCAGGTCATATTCTCATATGTGTGTTTGATACTACCACAATAAAACATACATGGTTTATAGTAATCAAAAGTACTCTTGAATGTTGGGTAAATGGTTATAAGTAGAAAGGGTTCATACAATATGAGAAATGGCCAGGATGAGGTGCAACTTGGTGTAGCATCGTTGTGTACGCTACAACCGCAAACGTTGTCACCGTTCCGAGCAAACGTAACTGAAACTGTTATGCCCCAACACATCTAAATAGTAACCGATAAAATGACAGCGACGGGGAACAGAGACTTGTCTATAATACTAACGGCACTCACTTGACACTTTTGTTATAGGTATTTCAGATGCTGCTCAACATCAATTTTTTCTCTTCACTATCTATTATGACTTTCCCGCTGCTTTATCCAGTCTAATCAAACAGTGGCAGTAAGAAGTGACGCCTATGATGAGTGTATTATCTCAAACAGAAAGCATAAAACACAAGTGAAGATTTGTACTTGTGAAAAAGGAACGCTACTAGCGACCTTTGGGTGAACTTTAATTTAAAAGTATCAAAGTGGATGTTCTCGATCAATTGAAAGCTAGGCAAAGGAGGAAAATCCAACAGAGTCCAAATTAACCGAAGCGCTCGTTTAGCGTTGATGTTTGTCAAATTTATAAACTACTTACAGTATTTACATACACATAGAACGGATATCCACCAGACAATACTACAAGTTTCGATAAATGGCTATCATCCAAAATCCATCCTATAGAAAATACCAAGAAAAACGAACTTGACAGTGTCTTGGTATGCTGTGTCTTCCGTTGTGGTAGTTGTGAATAACTGGCACTTTCCAAAAATCCCCCACGAAAGTAGATAATAGTCTCGAGCTTTTAGAAGCCGAACTTTGTGGTCATCAAGGCAAGAAACAACTGTTAAGTCTTGGAATAACATCATACGATGTCTGCCGGCCCACATTCGTGCATTATTATGACAGGTACATGATAATTTGTGTGCCATAAGTGGTTGCCCACATACCTAACAATCAAATACAAAAATCATCTAGCTTTTCATGTTTGCCAGGTATGTACATTGAGGTGATATGCAAAATTGAATAGTACATAAGACTACTACATTACTTTCATGTTCGTATTAAGAGAAAAATTGACTGATGCTATAATGTACAAGTAAAACAACGTGGTTGAAACTAGAAACCTTCCTTTCTCTTCTTTTTCTTCTTGACATGCTTGATTCTGGATCCGAAAGGGCCTGCAACCGGCTGACTAGCACTGATGGCCGTAGCTGTCTTCTTCGTCTCGGGCGACGGTGGGAAAATTTGTGTGGAAAACTCCAGGTCATGTATACTAGGGAGTGACAAGGAAGTTACCTTGTTGGCAGTCGCAGATTTGGTATGCGTATCCACAACTTGAGGAACGGCTGGTGCAGCATCCTGGACAGCAAAGTGCGCTGATGGGCGCCGACGCTTCTTTTTTGTGGTGGTCTGCTCATTTTGCAGAGCTTCTTCCGCCGTCATACCATCTAATCTTCTAAAGCTATAAGTATTTGGATCCGATTCCATGTCCCAATCGCCAGCTAGCGCTGTTGCTGCCGGGTTGAGCTTAAGCTGGCTTCTAGCCAGGAGTTCTTCTGATTTGAAAAGATGCGGGAAATGTAAATTCGCAGGTATGGCTGATTCTTCAGGTTTGTCTTGAAGTTCACTAGGTATTTCTGTAAGGGTGCCGATAATATGCCTTGAAGCTGTAAGATCTGTGGCAATCTTTTGTATGGCTTCGCTTATATACTTGGTCCGACTTGAACTCCCAGCAGATGTCGTATCTTCTATACCGCTCTCGAGATCCAAGTGGCAAACCTGCCTTAGCTTTGATCGAACGCTACTGATGCTGTCTCCCAGATCGAGGGCGAATGGATCAATAAGGCCGAACTCTTCAAAACTGTTGTGCCACACCTTTTCACGATGTACAGCTTCCGTGGATGATAACCGCTTTTCCAGCTCGCCAATAATGTTATCATCGATTTCACCAAATTCCCCTGCTGCAAGAGTATTAAGAATTTCATGCCTTTAAAATAAAAGAGTAGACGTTAGTAAGTATATCTGCAAAGAAGCAACATGGCCATTGTCACTTGGTACTTACAGAGTTTTTGGAGCGACAGTTTCCCTGACACATTGGATAATTTTGTTCTCCAGTTCCTTGACGTCTGTTATGTGTTCAGTGGTTTTGATTTCACCACGAAATTCAAGATCTAAATTGATACATGTGAGATGCCATCCTTCTTCAACTCATCCCATCAATGCGTTTGCTATACCTTCAAAAAAGCGGGACAAATCCGAATTTACGCTATCCTCTTCCATTTCTTGCTTTTTGGCTTCTAAATGTTCCGCTTCGATATTGTCAAAATCGATTATTGGTGGCCGCTGAAACCAAGAAAGTGACCGCAGTTTTTGTTTTTCTGGCGGTTTACGACACCAAATTTTACTTTGTACCGTTCCATCTTCGCATAACTGAAGAACATTCCATGTACGAATACCGGCTGCTTGATCTTCTTGTGAGGGTTTCATATGAGCTATACCCGGTATAACCGTCAACCCAGCGAGTGGTGATTTGTTACGCAGCTCGGCTGTCTTGCTCGTTGCGTAGGGTGTCACCCATGCTGCGGGAGATGGTCGGAATCGATTAGTTGGCAAGCCATACAAGGGTCTAGTAGCGACATAAAACGATGAGTTGGAACTGCTATGTTTGTTATTAGTCGGTGTAGTGGATAGTGTACTCTGCGACGCAGGATTTGTGTTGAACGAAATATCCAGGGTGCGAGGTACATCTTTCGTCATCTTATCAGTCTTTCCATACTCAAAAACATGAACAAAAGTGGACATAGGATGCCAGGCAAAAATTTGATCTAGGAAAAAAATATTAATTACGTTTAAGAATAAATCCAAAGTCGTATTTCATCAGTTGCATCGTTCCATACCTGTTTCACACCCTTCAACCTGATCCGTTACAAATTGTATTTGGGAAGGATAAAAAGGTCGTACGTGATGTTGCCAGCTAAGCACAGCTCGTTTGTTATACCGTGTATCAAACAACATTAGCTTATCATGTGTCGCAATAGCAACTTCAAAAGAGTGCTTTCTTGGTGGCACGGCCAACGCGCAAATGTTATCTTCTACACCTTTCAGGGCGAACTTTGCGTCTCTGAGCTGATAGATGGTACTGGTGTTTGAACCTGGTTTCGCCTATATATTAAGTTAGCGGGCATGCATCTCATAGCGATAAGTCTATGTACAACTCTTACCCTCAAGTCACAAAGGTCTAATTGATGAGGATATGCGGTATAAATGGTTCTTGGATGTGATGCGTATTGACATGAATGCCATTTGTGGAAAACATTTGAATCTGGAGATCCACCTTCTCGTATAGTTGATATATTGTTTCTGCATCAACAATCATAGTATCAGTATGCGGGAGGTACCTGAGAAAATGCAATTGTGATGTTTTTTAATCAGCCAACTTCTTACATGTATTCCCTAGGCTTGCTGTTGTAGTCCCACAACCCAAAGTAACCGGTTTCACTGACGATGATACATTCGCTTGCATAATAAGGATTGCCAACCATGTCCACTGCCTTGATATTATTCGCAAAATTTTTGTCAGAGAACGAAAGGGTTGCCAATGGTTTAACTTTTAAAGGTTTTGATGAATCGCTTTCTGTTGTTTGACTGATCTTCATGACTGACGCTCCTCCAACGGTACGCACACCGACAAGAGCTAAAGGTTACAATTGAGTTTTTGTCAGACATATTCAGGTTTCCAATCGATATTGTATCAATGTCTTCAACATCCTCATAGATGGAAGATTCGACATACCTTCATCTTCAGGAGAAAGCGAGGAACAAAAATTGGTGATTTGTTGTATTGGGGTAAAAACATCCAAAGAGGACCTATCCTTGAGCCGTATATCTACATCATCAATGTGTAAGAAGTCGGTATCCTGAGGAACTTCTTCACCGTTGGGGTATATTTGGCTGATACCAATGGGAGCTACATCTGAAAAAGGCATCAGTCGTCCTACTCGGTACGATCCTATCAATATATGGCAATGACTTACTCAGAGTCGATTTTGCTTCGCCTCCTGGAAAGATTAAAAATTGCGCTTTCTGTCCAAGCTGTCCATGCACCAAACGGTTGCCTAACGATGGATCAAAACGCTCATAGATATCCAGCACTTTTTTACTGTCTCTTCGCGCATCTAGAAGCGTGCTTCTGTAAATTGACAGCTTCGCGAGCAGCTCAAAGGATTTTGTCTATATGTCAAAAATCAAGGAGCTGTTAGAACAACGAGGAAATACAAAGACTTGTTAGTAGTCACCACAGCCGGAAGTACCTACCATATCAAATTGGTAATCTACTCTAGCTGCCAAATTGGTTTGTGGGACTTCCACTCTCGTTTTGTCAACAGGCACCCATGGGTAATCTTTAAACGGTGGGTCAGTTAGTACAAGTTCATTTTCATTATGCAATCTTGTACACACATGTACCTCCAGTGTCGGTTTGAAAAGTGTGTGGTTGTATGGAAGCTTCGTAGGTGTTAAAGTCCAGAATGTTGGCAGATATTTCCGGTCGAATGGGGAATGCATGTTCTCCAGCGGCATCAAGGTCGAGGCCGGTCAATTCAAGTGCGGGATCACGCCTGACCCGATCTAGCGGCATCAGTTAATATCATATACTGAGCTCGCAGGAAGTAGTACTTAGACGAGGTTTTTTTTTGACAAGAGCCAAAGTCTTTGAGCCGAATTCCCAGTCACGTCACGCGATTTCTTTCGTACTGTCAAATTGCGGGTTCGCGTACCATTTTCGTAGCGCGACTGGAATAGGCTCCCTTTGGCCGGACTGAACTCCCCATGTTGAAAGCATTATTCTTCAGGAAGAGAACGGCAATCACATACAAAAGCCGTATAGAGCCGCCAGCGTTCCCGGATTTTGATAGAAGTCCCTATGTCTTTCCTTCAGACAGCCAGCTCGGTCAACCTTTTACTGACAGTTCATCTCGACCAAACCGCGAACAAGCCGTAGGAAATCGTGACAATGGACACCGTAATGCAGAAAAAGTCAAGAAAGAGGAAACAGCAACCAAAGAGGAAGTCCAAGTAATTGATAGCAATTTAATTGATGGCTCAAATATTGATCACGACAGTGTCGTAGCCTCAGTGGATGAAGTGTCTACAAATATACCAGAACATAAGGATACAGAGCCAGAAATGTCTCTTCAGCACACACTTGAAAAAGTTAAGAAGAGGAAAAGACAAGAGAAACCACCGCAAGATCCGTTCAGTATATTTGACTTTTTAGAGTCTGATAGTGATGGGACAGTGGAACTGATGAAGGCCAAGCCGATGGGATTACTACAAAAGACAAACTCAGATGCACACCGAAAAACTACGAGTAACCATGAGTCGCTTACAGTAACAAAGGAGAAGAGCACGAAAAAACTTGCTACTCGCTTGAAGGCCGAAAGTAAGGTTGCAATCGACAATGATGACGAGTCACAATCCGAACTGTCTGATTTCGAGCATTTTGCAGGCGTAAGTGTCCATCAACTGACGAAGATTTACTATCAGAAGCCTTTAACTAATACTATACATAGAACATCTTTCCGGAAGTGTCCTATGTAATCACGCCAGAGCATGAATTACCAGAGTCTGATCCTAGAGAAGCGGAGCTATCGTCGTTCATGCGACAAGAATTTGGAATGGAAAGTGAGAAGGATGAATCTATGGAAGAACAGCAAAAAAAGCCATCAAAAAGAAAACAATACGTTCCTCAGAACAAAATCAAAGCTCAATTCACATATGGCTCTGCAAGAAAGATCATTAGCAGTCAAAATGAGAGTCCAAGCGAGGGCAATACAAGCAACCTAACGGGAAACGCTCTGTCATCAAAAGAAGCTCGTGTTCCTCCTAATAGTACATCTTTAGATCGATCAATGCCTCTTGGGGAGATCAATAGATCCTCAACTTGCACCAGCACACTCTCCTCGCCGTTAGTTTCTAGTAATGATATGCAATTAGATGAACAGAACTGTACATCCAAGAACACTTCTGGCCAAAAGTAAGCTATTGCACCCTCAATCACATTGTGTAATGTATTTAATAACCTTGTCGAGTACAGTATATCTCAAACGACTCAAAACGATGTAACAGACATTTTCTCCGTGACCGGAAATCTCTCCATTTTGATGACATGGTTATCAAACATACACCCTATTTCATGTACTACATCCATCTCACGAAAGGTATGTGAACATTCAATATCAGCTGTTGCCTTCCATCATTAATTAGTCTCTCCTTAAGTCGGATGGGCAACTGTGTGATAACGTAGTTGCGGCGCAAACATTGGTGGCATATCTGGCTCAAAATCCGGATGGCTTGAACCATCTGGAGCATGCAATTAAAAAAACTTATATGGTGAAGGTTCTTTGCGAAAACATAGAGTCATGTTTAGACGCCTTCGCTGAAACTGATACCTTAAGTTCAGAAAAGGAGGTAAGTCGTTGGGCTAGTCAAAGGATATCTCATTGATCTGATGAACTGATATTTGTTATGCATGCTTAGACTTTACGTGCTATACTTGAGCACAGTCTGAATTGCTTGATTATAATGGAACCGTTTACGGCATCCACGCATGATGTTGCCTCTTTACCGAGCCTGTGCAATACGCTTCTTCAGATATTGGCGATTTTTCAAGGTATGTTCTGCGGCTTTAATATTAATGTACCAATACTCATATCACACAACTGACCTTTGATTTGAATAGAATGCACAGCGCAAACCAACGATGACATCTCGGGATTAGCATGCAGTGGAGTATATACCACTCTTCAGCAACTTATCAACATTACTTACGGCAATCCAGCGCAATGTTCTATCATGACACAGGAACTTGTGCTATTTGACAGTATAGCATCAAACAACTGTCAGACTACGATGAATATACAAGGGAACTGGAAAGATCATTTCGATCAAAATTTACTGTCTTCCAAATATTTCCTCCCATTTCATACCGCAATTCTTGCGCTGGGCATCATGGTCAATTTATTTGAGGGAGATCAAGACGCTGCTCCCCAGTACAGTGCTTTAGGTAAGGCAATAGAACCATTTATAACTCTATTTCATAAGCAATGCTAATCCAATATTGCGTAAAAGTAGCTGCTGTTACCTGTCAAAGCATGGGTTCCTGCACTCAAAAGTGTACCTGCTGTGGGAAGATACCAAATAGGACGTGGATGTACGATATCTTCAAGGCTTTAGCATCAGACGAGGTAGTGTATTGAAACTACTGGTGCTCCACTTGTTGCATCTGTGATGATTAATTGAATGTATGACAGACACAGCAAGACTTCTACAAGTCCAAAATGATCATGTACATTTCTCTTGCGTTAGGATATCAACTCCAGGCCGGCGACATCTCCATTGCTGAAGGACCACTATGGATCTCCAGTGAAGATTATAACAGCATCATACACTTCATCAGCAGGTTTGCAGATTTACCTAGCCCCCAACCGGCTTCGAGATCTACGACAGAGGAACCCTCGTCGACTGCATCAGCGCAATTAGCTGCTCATCAGCTAGTGCTTCAACTAAAGCACAATGTAAAACCTCACAACCTATAGACTAATAGATCTATGCCTTGAGCCAGTCTTGTAAATACTTGTTTCAATAATAACATTACCATTAATTTTTTGCAAGTTTTTGTTCTGCCATTGAATCTGAATAAGGAAAATGTGATCGTCGATGAACTGGACGCATGTTGACCAACTATTCGAAAAAAAAGCTCAGCAACCTATTCGAGCAAGCTGAACCCACTAGCTATGCATTCAGCCATCGCCTTGCAAGCTGCTTCAATTCGGAAGCCGCGTTATCTCCAAGTGAGAGTAGCTCTTTTTAAATTTTACATCCTTTGTCGAACATTCCACTCATGCTCGAACATTCTTCTTCAGGACCTGCTTACACTGATGAATGGAACGACGATTTGATTTCACCTAATATAAATCCTCCCATAGCTCAATATCTCAAGCCGAGAAAAAGGCGCCTTTTCGGATTTAAGAAACATGGCAGCACCACGCAAGCATCGCAAGAAACTTCAGGTTTGGCTCTGGAAGGCATCTCATCTTTTGACATCCATATTCTGATAATTGCCATTGTTAGGCTTCACCGGCGTTGATTCACAGAAACTGGAAGCGACGATTGACGAAGATGAAGCTATGGTAGAGATACAGCCCATCTTACAAGGCTTACAGTCCATTGAAGTATCGTCAGCTCAAAACAGCCAAAGCGGATGGGCCGAACCGCTGTTTGCGCTTTTAAATTTGCCGCATCACCAGGTACGAGAAATAGACGCAATGACGGTATAGTATCGCACTCCACTCATTTTTTTTTTTCAAAGATTACAATTGCATGTAGGCACTTGGATTTTAGCAATTGGAACGATGACCGGATGACCATTGTTTGCGATGTCATATCCAAACATCCTGAACTTTCACATCAAAATGCTGTTTATTTTTTGAAGAATACTGTCTTTGTAAAGGTATGGAGCAGCACTTTTAGACTAGATGGTTGGAATCGCTGATTTATCATCTCATATAGATGCAAGATATGAAAAGTATGCCGTCAAGATCCTTCATGACTGCTGTTATACAGATGGCCAAAGCAAATGGCGGTACTGCAATTGACGGGATAGTATTACATGCACTCTATGCTACCCAGCCAAGTAAGTATACCAGGTAGATTTTGTATCGATAACATATGCTGAACTATATAACTTTGGCGAACAGACAAAGCACTGTCAAGTATCATATTGAAATTAATCAGTGGCGGTCTGTCTTGGGACAATTGCTCCAAATTACTCAGGTACACAACATTTTTAATCAACTTAACGCGTAATCTAATCATTAACCATGACACATTACCAGTATCATGGTGGCAGATCCAGACACCAGTATGAGCTCTCAAAGCCAAATCGCACCAATGCCATGGACCGCACTGACGTCAAACGCAGTAACAGCGCTGTTGCATATTAAGCCTCCCCTAGACTTGACGCATGTAATTGTACGAAATATCATATCAGGTATACGCTTAGGTTTGGAAGATGATCCTAAGGAGAACAGCCACATCCAGCTCTTGTTAGTGCTTGTCACCAAACACGGAGAACGGATCTATTTAGACAACAACATTATAGACCGCATTGAGGAGACGGCTAATATGAGTGACAGCTTCTTGAAAAAATCCATTCAAAATCAAATCAAGTCATTAAAACGAAAGGTTCAACCCTTTGCCGAAACCCAGGGATAATCACTACTAAAACTTCAAACAGCCTTGCCACGCCGCGCCACACTACCTTCTTTCTTTTACAGTCTCCTGCAATGTCAGCACCACCCATGTCAGAACCTATGAAGTGGTATTTTCACGCTGGTATGTCTCACAATGCTCTCGCCCATCTGAAATGACAATGCCAATAGTGTATTCACCTACACCATTACAGAAACCACAGGAGTCCACTTTCTGTTTGCTCCTATATATCTTGACAACTCATGGAAATTACTGATGGCATATGCCATCATCGTAGCAATATGCTGGACAGAAAGATTCTTAACCTACAAGCTGGATACCATTGTTTATGAGCCATATGGACATAGCATTGGAACTATTATACTGCGAACCCTTTATTACGGCATAGCTACTGCTCTTCGCTTGTTATACATGCTGGTAGCTATGTACTTCAATACCGGACTGTTCTTGGTGCTGGTATGTCACATACCAAATTACATGAACACGCGCTTTGGAATATACTAACCAAGTCGTCTCATTAGGTGATTGCTTTAACTACAGGACAGCTGGTGATCGAATACAAAAAATCACTCAGGTAGGAACGTGTGGCCATATGTACCAGATACAATTTTCAATATGTTACTGATAGTCCAGCTTTCTAGAGCTTCACGAAGAGGTCTTGGCGAACAAACGACAAGATCAATCCCCCTGCATGATGACCCGTCTCAGGGTCACGGCAAAGCATATCAAGATAATGCAGACGAGGAGGAGCAACAGTTGTTTGCAGTGGATAATGACGAGTTTGCCATGAAACAGAATAAGCATACTGCACGGATATAAGATTGCCGTTTCCTATACATAGTTCATTTGTACATTTGTCAATAAGAAAGACGGATATCGTCAATACTTCATATAAAATGCCAACCCTCATTGATTTCTGCGACTTTTTTTTCGACTACCAAGGACAGTCATTGATACGATTCTGTTGCAAAGATAGATTAGACTCGTCAATGTATGCAGCGAGCCATTACTGCTATTGTATGGAAGAACAAACGACCCACAGGAGCGATGCGTCTTACCATGAACTTGAGCATAGTGAAGTATAGTAAAAAACATGCTGTTGTGATTGTTTATCGCTTTTAAGCAAACGTTCGTAATACCTTTGGCAATGTACACTGTCGCTAAACTAGACTCCTACATTTGATTGGCCACGCTTGCAAGTGCATTTTTCTGATTTCCAAGACGCGGACTTCTCGGGCTCGCACTCTTCAATTATACCCAGACACAATGGTACAGTACAGTAGAACTCGATGAGAACCGTGTAGCTTGATTCCGAACGCAATTAACTCGAAATGCTCTTTCCTGGATTTGTTACTTTCGCCCTGCTTCCATTTTAATAGTCGGATGTCGATGAGACCATCAAGCGCCTGTCAACTCGTAAAGGAGTTGAAGGTATAGTTATCCTTAACGACGAGGGGTTGACAATACGCTCAACGCTAGATGCAGATTTGACAAAGAAGTACGCAACCTATGTCTATCCATTGGTTGGAAAATCAAGGACTTCCGTTTCAGAGATCGACCCTGAGGTACAGTTTGACTCGTCCTGCAAATCTGCCAGAACAATCCGCTAATAAACTCTCAAACAACCTTTCAGAACGAATTGACGTTCCTCAGAATTCGAACGAAGAAGCATGAACTGATGATCTCACCCGGTAAGTGGAGCCCAGTGAATATGTGGTAGTGAGACTATGTTTGGAGCGAACCATAACAGATGTTGCAACCTTTCAGATAAGGAATACACTATGATAGTCGTTCAAAATCATCACGAATAGACAACGATAGTGTAGTTATGACCAGAACAGCAGTAAAAAGAAATTCGATCTATACAAATGCAGCTTTTATTATTCACGACAAGTGGAGTGCGACGGGGTTGAAAATATGATTAAAAGAAAAGAAAAAGAAAAGAAAACAATGCAACAAAGGTGGGAGGTTTTTTTTTTTTTGGTGTAGAGTCGTCAAAGCATGGAGAAGTTCTCAGACTATGCTTATTTCTTGGAGCGCTTGTTGGCATTGGTTTTTGCCTTTGCGATGTTCTGCTTTCTCTGTTCCAATTTGGCAGCCTGTAATTTAAAAGTGGAGCAACCTTTTGTTAGTTCTCTATAAAAAAACTAAATCCATAAATCCCCCCCCCCCCTACTCACCTCTTCGCTCTTCTTATTCTGGCTATACTTGATCTTGGTGTACAACTTCTTTTGCTTGTTGGACATCATGATGGAGGCAAGCTCCTTCGCCTCTTCCTCTTCAATTTCCTTAGCAGTACGCTTCTTGCCTGCTGCAGACTTGGGTGCTTTCTTGGCATTTGCAGGCTTCTTTTCAGCATATTCAGTGAAGGCAACACCAGCAGCCTCCGCCTGAAGTTCGGCCTCGTGGTCTTCCTTAACGACCTTCTTGGGAGCAACAGCAGCCTTGGCTTCCTCTTCTTCCTCATCTTCTTCATCAGCGCTGTCAACTTCTTCGTCATCTTGGACTTCGATATCATCAGGGTTGATATCTTCAGTTTCTCCTTCAAAAGTCTCATCTTCTTCTTCCAAACCAGTGGATGGGACATAGTCGCCTTCCTTGGCTTCGACAAATGGACTCAAATGAGGTGGCAACATGCGACCAGGTGCATAGTTGTCAGAGATGACAAGTTTGCGTGAATTGATGCTGTCGGCAACCCACTGTGGTTGAATGTATGTGCGGTTGAGGAAACGATGACCCTGAGTGGGTCGGTCGCAGACCTGATGTGTGATCTTCTCATCGTTTTCAGGGAAAGGTGCGTCAGTACCAACTGTTTCATCCCAGCTGACTTGTCCACCGAATGAACGGATGATGAACTCCAAGGCATATCGTGGAGTCTCTCGTGAGAGGAAAATGACAGAACGTGAGAAAAGGTTTTGCAACTGCTGAATTTCAGTAGAGGCAGCTTGGATCTGGCTCAATGTCACCATGTTATCATCTCCATCCACAGCAGCATTGGTAGGAGCGGTAGCCTTGAATTCGTCAAAGGCGGTCTCTTCAGTTTCGTCTTGGACATCTTCATCTATTCGGTCAGTATCTGTGGATCCTTGTAGTTCAGCAACCTTGTTGCCAAGGGTCTTCAGGCGTTCCTTGGAGGCTGCCTTTCTAGCAACATCCTCGGGTGATTCCTCCTTCTCTGCTTCGATCATCTCAGTATCCAACTTGGCTTCCGCATCAGGTGCTGTCTTGTGCATGGCCTCAAGAATCAAAGCATTGAATCCAGCAGCGCCCTCATACTTGATGAGATCAAGCTTGGGAGGATATATGAGATTCACTTCAGAGAACAATCTGAAGTTGATGAATCCAACAAGAGTGCGATAGAATTCCAAGAATGTGAGCATGACTCGGAAATCAACATCGGTAGGAATCTGATGGACAGAAGATGATCAATCCAACACATTAGTTATAAAGTTTTTTCTTATTTTTTTTTTCAACATAAACACAGAGATTCCAATCTTACCGTTTGAGCGAATTGATAGGGTACAAGCCAGGTAACGGTTTGGCCCTTGATTTCAGCTTGGTAGTAAATACCCTTGATGGAGAAAAAGACCTTACGAAGACTGCGAGACTTCATAACGTAGATCTGGAATTCTGCTGTAAGACGCTGGCAGTCCTCAACAACTTCGCGATTGATTTTATCGGTCACAGGCATGGTTGCAAACAAGAAAAGCATGGAAAGAGCATCATCGAGATCTCTGACAGCATCGACAAAGGTAGGGTATCTGCAAGCAAACAATGACATTTAGAATCCCTGTCGGTACCTGTTACCACCCTGTTCCAAAATCGTACCTTTCTTTCACAATATGATCCAAACTGTAAACAGGCTTGTTGTGCTCTTCGAGAGATTTGGCAGTGCTGTACTGGCCCTTGGCCATGACCTTTGCGAGCTTCTTAGCGAAAGCCTTGTACTCTCTGAATTTGTGCAAGACTGGTTCATGAAGAAGGTATTGAATATCCTTGTGATAATAGAATGTGGTCGGGGCGGTGGAACCCTTGTTGGCCTTCTTCTTGTTTCTAGGTTCGCGAGGATAAATTCCCTTCAAGATACAAAGACGTCTGTAGTGAACAGGCAGCTTTAGTTAATCAGGCCCGGGAAAATGGCTAACATGGTATACAAATGCACCCACCTGAAATCAGCCAAAGAAATCTGAAGCTTTTTCAGAGCTTGGTTTCTGGTAACGAAGTTAGCGGCGGCTCCCTTCTTTCCTTTCTTCTGGATTTTAGCCATAGTTCAAGGTTAATAGAGCGTTACTACCGAGGCGGAGGATGAAGACCGATGAAGAAAAATTTCCAAAGGGTAAAGGATTAGCGGTCACGGTGGCTTGTGGCATCTGCAAACGGCAATTTGCCAATTCAGACTTTGAGAAAATTCACAGCCCGCAGGTCCTTGACCGTCGAACCAGCTCGCCCACATGACCACCCGATTGAAGATACCCTCGGCTGAAGACTCCACCGAAATCGACGCTGTCATTACATATGAAGGGAAACACACGGGAGAGGGAGCACCAGCAATCATAATATCTCATCCTTATGGGCCTCTAGGTTAGTCGACATTACCGAATGGAATATTGGCGGCATTTTCTCCCCCTTAACCCACGCATTTCATAAGGTGGCAGCATTGTAAATAATGTAGTGCAATCTCTACATAAATATTTTTCATCCAAGAATTATGTTACGGCTAGCTTTAACTTTCGGTACGTTGAAAATGTGTGTGGTATCCTGCATGTACCTTCAACTCTACTGACCGGGAAATATCTCCGCTTTGAACGTCAGTGGTGCAGGGCGATCTGGAGGACGGACGAGTTGGACGGGCATGCCTGAACGACAGGACTACATAGCTGTGATGAACCATTTATTTAAGTCTAACGCATATCCTACCATCTCCTCCATCATAATATGTGTAAGTTACGTTGAACTATCCATGATCAGTCGATGTATGCCAATATTGATCGCAGCATTTACTTAGGGATATTCCTTTGGGTCCATGATAGCCGGATCCATTACTCCACCAGCCGATATTCCCTCCAGATACTTACTAATTAGCTATCCTCTAAGTGTGATGTGGGCACTGACGAGCTTTCACAGTACGTTTTTCAAGGAGCAAGTGATGCAAAGGATGGATAGTGCAAACGATGCAACAAGCGGACCAATGTTGTTTATCATGGGCGACCGAGATCAATTTACTGGACTTGGTGCATTGAAGAGATGGATTGCCGACAAAGCAACGGAACGGACTACCCTAGCTGTTGTTCCTGACGGTGATCACTTTTGGTTTGGCATGGAGGAGACTCTCATCCAAATTATTGATTCCTGGCTGCATCAGTAGTGCGGGTACTTTTTATGTAGCATATATGCTATTCTTTCGTTGAGTGTTAGAACCGTTATTCGATGTCATTTCTTTTCTGTTTATGACGTGCTGCCGTTCTCAAATCAAGGGCATATTCATTGAAGCGATGTTGTATCATCCACATCGCAACGTGCGGTGGGGTTAATGTGGAAACAGAGAAATTGACAACGAATAGCATGTTAAAGAATTTTTCTATTTCATTGTTATTAAAGACTAGCTTTTTTGTATTCCCAAATGATTTTTTTTTATATTTTGTTTGTACAAATCTCGATATTTTCCGCACCGGTTTACAATGGTAGGATTCTGTTTAATATCTGGCAGAAAAAATATGTGATTTAACGGCGGGAGCTGTAGACGTGAGCGAAACCGCGGGTGGAAGCACGCTTGAGCTTCTGGTGAGCAGCCTTGAGGTCATCAACGTTAGCCTCTTCGGCGTTGAGATCCAAGAGTTCCATGGCTTCTTGGAGAGCAGTTTCAATGGTCTCGCGGTCACCACGACGGATCTTGAGGGAGATGTTAGGGTCGGTGATGTTGTTCTCGACCTGGTAGACATATGACTCAAGGTCTTGCTTGGCCTGAATGACACCTTCGCGTTCCTTATCAGCCTCAGCGTTCTTAGCAGCATCGCTGACCATACGGTCGATATCAGCAGCAGACAAACGGGTAGAGTTGGAGATGGTGACGTTAGCCTTGCGACCAGTGGCCTTGTCTTGAGCAGAGACCTTCAAGATACCGTTGGCATCAATGTCGAAGGTACACAAAAGCTCGGGAACACCACGGGGAGCGGGGATAAGTCCAGAAAGTTCGAACTCACCGAGAAGGTTGTTCTCCTTGGTCATGAGACGCTCACCTTCGTAGACGGGGAACTTAACTTGAGTCTGGTTATCAGAGGCAGTGGTGAAGACCTTGGACTTTTGGGTGGGAATGGGGGTATTGCGGGGAACAACGACGGCCATGATACCACCTTGCATCTCAATACCGAGAGAAAGAGGGACAACATCCAAAAGAAGGAGGTCTTGAGTCTTCTCGTTACCAGCTTGGTTGGTGAGGACAGCAGCCTGGACAGCAGCACCATAGGCAACAGCCTCATCAGGGTTGATAGACTTGTTCAACTCCTTACCGTCAAAGAAGTCTTGAAGGAGAGATTGAATCTTGGGAATACGGGTGGAACCACCGACAAGGACAACTTCGTGGACATCCTTCTTGTCGATCTTAGAATCCTTGAGGACACGGGCAACGGGATCGATGGTGCCGTTGAAGTGGGTGGAGTTGATCTCTTCGAACTTGGCACGGGTGATGTTGGCCTGGAAGTCAACACCATCGAAAAGAGAGTCAACCTCAACGGTGGTCTGAGTAAGGGAAGACAAGGTACGCTTAGCACGCTCGGAAGCAGTGCGAAGACGACGGAGAGCACGAGCATCACCAGAGATGTCCTTCTTCTGCTTGCGCTTGAATTCTTGGACAAAGTGGTTGACGAGGGTGTTATCGAAATCTTCACCACCAAGATGGGTGTCACCAGCGGTGGCCTTGACGGCGAAAACACCACCGGAGATGGTCAAGAGGGAGACATCGAAGGTACCACCACCCAAATCGAAGATGAGGACGTTCTTCTCTTGCTTGTCGTTGGCATCAAGACCGTAGGCGATGGCTATACAGCGAGGAAATTAGGTTAACGTAAGGTTCAAACACGTAGATGAGCCTCGGAGAGTCAATTCATCTACATCAAAAACCTAAATTTTGGAAAATCGCTTCTTACCAGCAGCAGTGGGCTCGTTAATGATACGGAGAACCTCCATACCAGAAATAGTACCAGCATCCTTGGTAGCTTGACGCTGAGAATCGTTGAAGTAAGCGGGAACGGTGATGACAGCCTTCTTGACGGTCTTTCCGAGCTTAGCTTCAGCAATTTCCTTCATCTTGATGAGAACCATAGAGGAGATTTCTAAACGAATAAAAATTTTAACCAGTTAAAAACAAACTGTCATTACACGAGGCTGCTTCGAGAAAAAGTTGTTGCTTACCTTGGGGAGAGAAAGTCTTGGTCTCACCCTCGAAATCAACTTGGATGAAGGGGTTACCATCCTTGTCGGCGATGGTGAAAGGCCAGTTCTTCATATCAGCCTTGACTTCGGGATCATCGAAACGACGACCGATGAGACGCTTGGCATCGAAGACGGTGTTCTTGGGGTTCATAGCAGCCTGGTTCTTGGCAGCGTCACCAACAAGGCGTTCGTTGTCAGAGAAAGCAACGTATGAGGGAGTGGTGCGGTTACCCTGCTCGTTAGCAATGATTTCGACACGCTCAGACTCCCAAACACCAACACAGGAGTAGGTGGTACCCAAGTCTAATGAAAAATACAACGGATCAGCATTGCTGGCTATTTGAACGAAACGTATGAATGGGGTCGACACGCACCAATACCGATAGCTCCAGCGTACTCGTTGTCAGCCATATTATATGTTATGAAGAAAAAAAAGAGAAAGATTGATTAGTCTGCCCAAAAAAAATTTTTTTTGTCTCTGCTCCGAAATTTGTATGTACCAAAATCAAGTTTTATCTCAATGGGATGACATCGTTCATTTGAAGTTTGCTAGCCCTGCCCATTATTTCTCGGTCCCAAAGGCAAAAAGTCAACGAAGAAGCTAAACATGCCGAGAGCTGTCTCTACATTGACCGGCTTAATAGTCGTTGGTGCCATCGCATACAAGTATAGAGATAATGTAGCTACTGAGACTGCTGATATTCGCGGTCGATTGCAAAATGTAAAGTCTACTCTGGATGACATGGCTGCTGGCACGGTTCATAAAGTAAATGTTCGCTAATATTGCTTTCATGCTGTCGATTTGACGCAAACTCTACTTTTCACCCTCGAAAAATAGGCCATTGATAACCCAAACATCTCGCTTGCCGGGTCCTATATCGACCCTTACCCTAAAGTGGCAGAAGCCCATAGTTATGTCACCCAACGATTTGTACCATCAGGTAAATATCACATCGTTTTCACCTATCTATCATCTCTTGAGCACGTCACTCACATGCTAAACCTGCTTTCTATCAGTCAAGGGCACGTGGAACGACCATGTTAGTGCCGCAGCGTCCAACTTGATCAATTCGGACCTCCCTGGTAAAGCTAGAAAGGTGTTCGTTGAAAAAGTTTTGGGAGAATCCGATAAATAGACCAGCATCCAATCTTCATGTTTCTTAATACATTCTACATTTCAATATCGATTATCTCAATGGAAAGAAGCACTTTGTCAGCTTGAAGCTGGAAGTCAGATGATCCTCGAAGTGCTACGCGTGACTTTTTGCAGGTTTTTTGATTTTTCGCCTTGGCTGGCACCATTTGCACCTTCTCATACATTACGAACAACTTCTATGACGAGATGCTCAACTGAGAGCAGACAAAGAGATAATCCCTCTCATAACATTCAATGCACGTCCCCATTAACCTCATTCGAACATCACCAACCAATGACCAAACACCAACCCCCAGAACAGTCGTCGGAGCTAGCTTCCATAACCGAAAGTGAGCATAATCTTAATGACTGGAGCACACAGAGTTACACCTTTAGCAAGAAAAGCTTCCAAGGACCAGATGTTAGATCGTTTGATAGCTCTATCAGCGATTTAGGTCTAACGGAAAATGATACCCATAATACTCAGCTACATTTACAAGAGGATCGACCAATGCCAGTTCCCTATCAGATATCACAGCCAATCTATTTCGATAATAGCCTAGACATTGATAATCAGAGCCTGGCTCCTTCAGACTTCTATGACAGCTCCTTTGTGATGCCTCAAGTAGCAGTACCTTCGACCAAAAACAGCGAAACCTTGGTGGCTGATAGCGATGTCGGATACATTAAAATCCTTGTCTGCGGTGATTCAGGTACGTAGAAAATAGTGTCATCACCAATGTTCGAGTATGTAAGTCCGTTCTCATCGTTGCTCTTTCTTAATTTAGGAATTGGAAAGACCTCGTTAACCAACATGTTTCTGCGCGCCAATGAAATTGTTGCCGTTCAACCTGTTGCAGAAACCGAAGGGGACACTCGATCCATATGTTCGAACATCGAAGTGTCGACAGCGGATGAAAAGAAATCAGTTGAAAGTGATTTTGAATTCGAAGGGTTGAAAGAAATTAGAGCTTCGACTGGAAGCAAAGATGATAGCAACTTTGACTTACTCGATTCCGGAGCTGATTCCGATGTCATTGATCCGATATATAATATATGCATGGTTGATACCATTGGCTATGGAGCTTATATGGACGTAAGTCGTCTTCTCAGATATGAAAGCGCTTGATGTAGCCTGGATGGTACACTGACCCACCGCTGAAAAACTTAAGGCAAGCGCCATCATTTCACCAGTTGCATCTTACCTGGAGCAACAATTTCAAATCACCAATTCCATTTTCAGCCCTATGCAGCCTAACACCAGCACACTGCTACGCATATTAAATAATGGTTCAGGAGCCTACACGCACGTTGACATCTGTTTGTACATAATTTTCAATCGTGTAAAGCCCGTGGACTATGAGTATATGCGTTCCATACAACACCTCTGCAACATAGTACCAGTCTTAATCAAACCGGATTCCTACAACAATGACCAGATGGACAATCGACGATACGAAGTGTTGTATGACCTCCTTGACAACAACATAGATGTCTTTGGTTTTGGCCACTGTCGAGAAGATCTACTGGAGATGTGTCGACGAGGAAACCCTGGAGTTCCACCTTTCATCGTCAGCCTGGATCAAACATCCAATGCCGATATGTTGACTCCCTTCACTTCAATGCCACTGATAAACATGACATCAACTGGTCCTGAAAGCGAACATCAAAGTTCACTCAACAGCAGTACTACGAGGTCGTCAAATTTTCAAGCTCTAAAAGACATGATTTTCCACAAAGGGATAAACAGTATCCGGCAGAGTACTGCCAGAAAATTTATAAAGTGGAGATCGGCCCAGTTAATGCAAGGACCGCCTTTTGATGCGTTGAATGACGGCACATCTGGATCACAACGTGATTTAGCAATGATAACGGCACCAACGTTGACTACAGCAGAGTCTGTAGATCGTATGCAACAGGTCAAGCAAGCCGAAGTGAAAAAGATCAACCTTTATATCGCTAGGTTCATTAGTGACAAACGAAAGGAGATGGAGGAGCGAATGATCGAACAGGAAAAGCAACTGAAGAAGCAGCTCGACTCAGCAAGCTATAAACGAAGAGCCCATCTGTTACTGGCGGAACTCGCTAAACTCTTGCTTCACAAACCAATGGATCAGTCCCAAGTATCTACTATTCCACCAACCCGAGAGAGGAATATGACATCCAATCGAGAACAGAAGAAATGGCCAAAACCAGCAGCCTCCAATGCTTTCGAGAGAGCTTTACAGTCTATGGTTCAACCAGAGAAAGTGAAGATTGCGACTGCATTTATCATACTTCTGGTGGCTGACTACCTTGGTCCATGGGCCTATATCCTATCCATTTGCATCCTGTACTGTTTGCCATAGCGCAATATACATTTCCTTTTCGTTTTGATTTTTCTCACACAACTTGTAAATCCCACACTTCCTGTACCGTTAGACTTCCTTCCTTCCGTAGCTGATTAGCCTGTACATTTCTGTTTTACTTTCGTTTCCATCCCCAACTACTGCGGTATTGACGTACGGCGTAGAAAGTTTGCTTCAAACATGCACATTTCGCAGCTTGCCAAACTGATTTGAGCTCGAGAGTCGAGATTCTAATACAATGTTTAACTCATTATCCATGATAGAGGAAGGTTTCTGAGACTCTTACAGCGGAGTGCTTAGTGTTGAGCCAATTTCTCATGAATTTGAAAATATCTCCCACTCCTCTAGTACCAAAAAAAAAAAAAAAAAAGTTAGGGATGTAAAAAGCACGGACGAGATTTTTTTTCAATTGTGACTTGAGGTAGAAATTGTTTCTTCAACAAGTTTTGAGACAATACATGAGATCTCTACTCTTATATAGTCCAGGTCCTGGTATCTTTTGTTTTTTGAGAGGTATGAGAGTGATTGGCATTTCTCATAGTAGTCTTTGGCTTCAGCAGTATTGCCTATGGTCCTTTGGCACACCGCCAGACTGTGATATAATGCTTCTTCTAGGGCTTCTCCATGTTTACCAATAGCATTGATAGCTATCCATTTACCGTTCTTGCGGCTGTTTGTGCCGGCTTCTTCTTTTATTTTTGATAGTTAGGGTTACGAGACAAATTAGTTGTTGGTGATGCTTTTGATGAATCAATTAAAAGGTTAAAGAGCCAGACTTGTAAGGTCACGTGAGTGCCTTATTATTTATGAGTTGAAAGAGAACTGTCTTTTATTGAATGGAAACAAACGGAATCTATGGTTGATCAGTCAT